AGGGAGACACAGAATCTGAAGCAGCTCCAGGCTCCGAGCTGTCAGCACAGAGCCCGACGCAGGGTTTGAACTCAAAAACGGTGAGATCACGACCTGAGCCAAAGTCGAACGCTTAACCTCCTGAGTCACCCGGGCGCCCCCAGACTTCCAGTTTTAAGTTGAAGACACACACAAAATTGTCATTATGTTTGTCAGTTTCACTTCAATACAGCTGGAAAATAAATTATCTTTTTCAAGGCTTTGGAGAGAACTCTGTTCAATCCCTGCTGCACGGATAGGATGTCCTGTGAATCTGGGAAAGCTACCGAAACGTCCTGTGCCTTCGTTTCTGCCCCTGGAAAGTGGGTTGGTGACAGACGTGCCTTTGAGTCAGACTGTGACATGGACTCCACTCCCGGCTGTCATTACCTCTGTGCAGCTCTGGACCAGTCACATGACATGCCTGGCGTCAGTATCCTCATCTGTAAAATGGGACCATAAAATCTCCTGTGCAGAGTTGTTTCTGAATTTTGAAATTGACCATGGGCATCGGTCACCACAGCATCTGGCTCGAAGGGGACGCTTACCCTGATGTTTTTGTCAGACTTTGTATCCATGCAGATGACTTGGAAGCCACCGTTGCTAATGGGACACTCACAGCTGCCACCCTTTCCCTGGATCACGTGATAAGCCGCTCGTCTGTCGACACTCTGCCAAACCCGCTTGACTGCTTTTTCCCTCACCTCTCTTTTTTTCATTATTGTAGTTAGATACACATCACATAACATTTACCATTTTAACCATTCTAAATGCACAATTCAGTGCTATTAAGTCCCTATGTAGCAGGTTTCTCGCACAGAGTCGTGACACTGAGGCTTTTCTTTCCAGGGAGCAACTTTATTCCAGCCGGCGCCGCTCAGTAGGGTTCGTACCCAAAGAACCAAACCCCGAACACCACATGGCGTGGCTTTTTATATATATTTTTTACTTCTTTGTCTCCCATATATGGTAACACGCAAACATACGGTCTGATTAACACGGTCTCGTGTGACACGGTCATGAGGAATGTCGTCACGTACACGAACAGCAAGGCTGCCTTGAGATGTTCTTTTTTCTTTCTTTCTTAGGGAGGGGACGCTCCCACACCTTCACAGAGGTGTGCAGCCATCACCACTAACTTGTTCCAGAATGTTTCTGTCATCCCCAAAAGGAGGCTGTATCCCCATTATCCATCACTCCCCGCCCCAGCCCTGCCACTCTTCACCTCCACAGTGGGGGGCACTAGCGTCCCAGGGGAGACCCAGGTGGGGGGCCGGGTGTCAGCAGGCATCTGCCCCAGCACGTGTGCCCCAGGGCTCTCATGAGACCGCAAAGAGGCACCCAAGCACAGGTGAGCAGTGATGTTCACATCGACGTCTGGCCAGTGCTGCTTCTTTTCTCCCGGACGCTATTGATTCATACTTTCCAGAAGAAAAGGCTGAGTGTGTTGCAGCAAAGAGGAGAAAATGTTTCTTTTGGGCTCCCAGGCGTCCTTGATCCGTTGATTTTCATTTGACTCAGGACGTGGTATAATTAAGTCGGGCAGGTGGTGAACATCACAATAGCACTGCCGGGTGTTAACACCCTTAAGAACAAGAGGTTTCCCCCACAAAGTATCCCCTTGGCCGCTCAGGTCAGGGAAGTAGATTTATAAACCCATAAAATCAATAAAAGTGTGTGTCCAAAATTGTACTATAAAAATATCCCTGGAGAACAAAAGAGATGACTGTGAACAAAATGCATGTAGAAACGTGCATGTGTTTTCAAGATTTTTGTCCAATCGGCATTTTTTTCCTGTTTCCTTCTTCTTTTTTTCAACTAGAACAGAATTTCTTTATGGACAGGGTATGTATCATTTGGGGATCTTAAAGTGCTTTGGAGAGCACTCAGTTGCATTTAGGAATGAATTTGAATTTCTATCATGTAAGAATACAGCCCTATTTGGAGAGTGATGCCAAGAAATCCAAAGCGCCTCGCAGAACAGCGAGCTCCACACTTTGATCGCACACTTGGCTCGATAAAAAGCTTTTGGCATGCCCTCGCAACACGTGTGTATTTACGAATAAATCATTTCTGTGTATTCGGTACAAGTACTGTGTGCTCCATGAAACATGTAAAATAGAAATTATGACCAGTGAGAGATGAAATAACGGTAAAAATTCCTATCTATCTTTTCTTCCTGCACATTGAAGGACAGTCTGGAGTGGGCTCATGTGACTGAGAGGCTTAGCAAGTCCAAAATCTGATGGGGCTGGGTGGGGGTGGGGGGTCAGCAGGCTGGAGACCTGGCAGAGACCTACAGAGCCCAAAGGCAGACTGCTGGCAGATTTCCCTCCTGCTCGGGGGAGGTCAGTCTTTGTTCTGTTCAGGCCTTCAACTGATTGGATGAGGCCCACCCACAGTGGATCGTGTCCACTGATTTAAACGTTAATCACATCCAAAAAATGTCTACACTGAGGGGCACCTGGGTGGCTCTGTCGGTCAAGCATCTAACTTCAGCTCAGGTCGTGACCTCGCAGTCTGTGAGTTTCAGCCCTTCATCAAGCTCTGTGCTGACAGCTCGGAGCCTGGTGCCTGCTTCACATTGTGTCCCCCTCTCTTTCTCTGCCCTTCCCCCACTTGTGCTTTGTCTCTTTCAAAATTAAAGAAACATTTTAAAAAACACAGCTACACTGAAACATTCAGGATAACATTCAACCAAACATATATTGGCTGTGGCTCAGCTGCTTTGACAGAAAATTAACCATCACAACTCCATGTGAGAAACTTTCAGTTCCTGCAGATGATTACACATCATATGAAGGGCACTGATTGGTGTTTTATGTGCAAAGGAGAGGAATTAGAAGGCATCAGATAAACATGAGGCTCTTTGGCTCAAAATAAAAGGAAAGTGGGTAAGAACAGAATGTGGTGCACTCCCTCAAGAGAGTAAGTTGGCACTTGCATCGACTATTTTAATACATGTGTACCCTGACCCACAGTTGTCAAAAGTAGGAATTCCACTCAAAGATGTTCAGTACAGTGTTATTTATAAGACAAAAAACAAAAACAAAACAACAACAACAGGCCTTCTGTAAGGGAAGCGATCTGATAAATTACGGTATATCTTTTCACAGAATATTCTGTAGTTCAAAAAAAGCAAAAACACGGATGTAAAAACTTATTCGTGATAATTATCAAATGACTATATCTGTATCTATATACATACACACACACATATACCCTTTATATAGGAGATGATTATCTCCTGTGTTAAAAACAGTGAGAGAGAGATACAGGATTTTATGTCATGGAGATTTCCAGAAAGAGCCTCAAGAAACTGCTATCAGATTGCAGTTCACAAAAAACTAGAGGCTTTCATTTTTCACCTTTGACCTGATTCAAATATTTTTCATAACACGTATGTAAATGGTTTTTCTGTCCCTTTTAATGGCAGACATTTCCGTTTCTACTGTGATAGCGACTGAAATGATATTTGAGTCAGGGCGGAGGGGCGTGCGGGGCAGGCTGGGGTGGCGGGACTTTCTTGCTCAAGCAGAGCCCTGCGTGTGGCTACAGGGAAGACAGGGAGACCCCAGGACCGTGGGGACAGCCAGCACAGCCTTCTCCCTCGAGTGGGCCAGCTGGGGACGGCCACGGGCAACGGGGCTGCGGAGTGCTGGCCGCCGGCGAACCGTGCTTTCCTTCCGGACACAGCCAGTGCCTGGAGCGCTGAGCTCAGCACACACCGTAACAGGGATCCCTCTCTCCTAAGTGCTTTACTCACCGATTTGTGAAACTGAGGGCGACTTAGCAGAGTGAGTGCTGTTAGTTCCTACCTTACCGAGGAGGGAACGGGGGCAAAAGTCAATGAATCAATGGATGGATGGATGAATGAACAAATGAATGAAGCTACCCAAGGGGAGGCACCTTTGTAAACTGTCTCTGTGGGAGACGAGCACGCATATTCCAGAGGAGCAAGGAAGGCAGGCAGACTCAGGGGCCACCAGAGAAGAGGGCAGAGTTCTGTGCACTTGACCCACAGGCTTCGCGGGAACCCACACGTGGACCCAAGGTCCCGAACCCCTGTTCTGTGGGGATTTCCAGATCGCAGAGCCCAGGACTCTGTAAGTCATGACATCCCCGGCCCTTTGAAGGTTGTGAGCTTAAAACTACCCCCCCCACACACACAACAAAATTAAAATTACTGTAAATTCACCCTGAAGTCTCCATTCCGCAAGTAAAAAGTGTCAGGGGGAATAAACTACTGTTTAGTGCAAACTAGGGTTGTTATCTGGCACCTGAGAATATTACCAGTTGTGTAGTCAGGGTGACCGCCTGATTCACTGTCGAAATGTGGATACTCTGTCCGTGAAAAGGGGGGCACCGTATCCATGCCGAGACCACGCGGTGACCTGGGAGTGTCCTGGACCAGCCGGGACATGTTGCTTTAGGCAGAACGAGTTGGTACCAGGCCATGTCTGTTCGTGGCAAATGGGGACTGGCTGCTTTTCCGGGAGCCGTGGCAGAGGGGGTCACCTGCCCGCCGCCCCTCCACCCCGGCAGAGCTTTGCCTAATTCCTGTCCCCACACTTTGGAACCTGTCATTCCCTTCACACGCACACAGCACGGCTTTGTGCCTGGCCCTACAGGCGTACGACACGGCTCCAAACCGGGGGTCAACATCCGAGAGCGAGGCCTTTGCTCTCTCCTGTTTGCCTCCCGCCCTCCCTCCAGCACAGGCAGTGGGCCCTCCACGGGGTTCTCCTAACCGCCTGGCACACGCTGCTGTTTACCAGATCGAAGCTCAGTGAGCCGAGGGGCCAGCTACAGTGAAGGCCACAGGTCTGTCATGGGGCGCCACCCCTACGCCACACTGCCCGTCATCCGGAGGCTGGAGCAGGCATGGGTTGAAATTTAACCCTGAGATCAGAGGGTTGGGTACGTTTCTACAAAAAGAGGTGGGCTAGCCCCACCCTGTGCTCTTCCCGACCGAAGTGGGAGCAGAGAGTAGGAAAACCACCCTGGGTTTACTGGGGTCTGCGGGGAGCAGTTACAAGATGCTAAGGAGCCCGGTGCTGGGCAGGAGCCTTGGGAAGTCATCCGATTTCTCGGTCTTGGTCAAGCAGATGTGGGGGACCCTCCGCAGTCATCCGCTAAGGCCGGAGCGAAGGTCCTCGCAGGGTCCCTGTGCGCAGAGAAATCAGACCGATGCTCGTAAGTAGACCCTTGGGCTTCCCCAGGTGCAGTTTGATGTCTGGCTAATTGTGTAGCATCTTCCAAAATGGGCGGCGTCAGAGCCGGTCTGCTGGGGTTCAGCTTTCCGCTCTGCCTCCTTTCCCGTGGCTAAACTTGGACGATTCCTTTAACCTCCGTTCCGCGGGGCCGTCAGGAGGGTGAGATCCTCAGGAGACAGGTAGCAAGCAGCCCCCAGGATGGGGTGTTGCTGGGACCCTCCAGCCCCCTAGAAAGTAGCCCCACCACCAGCCGTTAGAGCTCCAGAACATTCTCTGCAAACATGCAACAAACCCATCGTCCAACCAGCTCTGTCCAAAGACTGCCCCAGGTCACCCGCACCCTGGCAGCCTGTGTCCTTAACGCTCTGTGACCTTGGACTCAATGCTCCTTCTTCGTGGGTCGCAGATTTCTCCCCTGTCCAAAAAAAAAGGCTGGCTAATGAGGCCACTTCTGATTTTTATTCCTGAAATATCCTCACCTTCCAGGTTTGGCCAGTGGGGTGAGCCTGGGCTTCAGGACCAGAGGGTCCCGAGCGTGGGCACTGGGGACAAGTGCCTCTTGTCAGAGGTCAGAGCGGGGCCGGCTGCGTTCAGCCCGAGCCCCAGGCTGCTCATCTGTAAAATGGGAGAACTGATCGTCTCACAGGGTCCACGTAGAGATGGAACCACATGTAGAAAGCCTGGTGCACAGCAGGCTCTCAGTGAACATTCCGGACTCGTACTCAGAGCGGGTGCCCGGAAGGGCGGAGCCAGAAGTAAAACCCTGGGCCCTGCCCTAGACCTGCACATAAACTTGAAACCACGCGGAAAGGCGCTCACACCCGCACTGCCCCCGACCCCAACTCCCAGAGGCCACTGCCAGGTCTGCGTCAGGGCCCAGCCGCGGACGCTTTCCTCCCTGCACAGGAAACGTGCCTACGCGTTCGCGAGACTGCTCAAAAAACACAGGCGCTGACCCCGCTGTACATGTCGATCGGCAACTGGGTTTTCTCTAGTCAACTGGAGACAACTTCACAACTGTCCCTTCTTCCGCACTTGGTGTGACCGTGAGGGGCGTCGGGCCCTCTGGACCGGAACCCTGGCCCCACCGCTTCTGGGCTGGCAGCCCCTGGGCAGTTCCGTGGCCTCTTCAACCCCAGGTAGTCACGGCACTCGTCACCCCGCGCCGGGGGAGGCAGAAACGAGGTCGGGAATGGACAGGCCTGGGGCCTTGCAAACCGCCCCAGGCACTAATTGTTACTGTCACGTTGGGCCGTCACGTGGACACCCCTGTATTTAACCATTTCCTTTTTGGGGAACATGACGTAGTCTTCAGTCTTTAACTATTGCCGACCCCATCCTCACACCCTCACACCCGTGTGCAGGACAGAGTGCCGTTTTGTGTCAAGGACCGTGGTTTTCAAACTACTTTCGGGGGGACCCCAGGGCTCCGCGGGGGGTTCAGTACGCCGCATTGGACAGTCCCCGCTGCCACAGGAAGGCTGGAGCTCCCTCAGAGGCTTGTGCCTTCAGGTTAGCGTGTTGCACGTTGGTATTTGACGGAACACTTCCTTTGGAGGAAAAAGAGAGTTTGTGACTAGATACACCGCCCCCCCCTTATCTGGAGCCGGGGGCCATTCCAGGAGCCCCTCGGATTTTTCAAAGAAAGTATGGAACTTTCTGTAGACCATTTTCTCCTAAACACACAGCTATAATACGTTTAATTTATAAATTTGGCGCAGAGATGAACAATGGAACTTACGATAAAACAGAACTGAAACATTGTAGTCAAAGTTACGTAAGTGTGGCCTCACTGCCCTGTACTCACCTCCCGAGACAACGTGCGTGAGATGATAAAACGCCCAGGCGAAGAGGTGCAGTGGGGTGTGTGACCAGCGTTAGGCCATCAGTGACCTGACAGCGCGTCAGAAGTTGGATCACCCGCTGCCCGACCGCGGTTGGCCTCTGGTCACTGAAACCGCAGACAGAGAATCGGCCAATGAGGGGACCTCTGTGTGACTGAAAGTCACTAGTGGTTCGGCCTAGAGAGAAGACGGACAGCATTATAAAATGTTCCAGAATCATCTCAATCGCGTGTTCTCCCGCCACACTCCAGGACCCGCGGGAGTTACCTTTCACCCATCGAGTGCGTCTCTTCCCCAGGCTAGATTGGTGACATCCGTGCTGGCGGGAGCATTGCACCCTGGCCACGGCAGGCATGGCCACGGCAGGCATGGCCCACGCGGGCCCCTCAGGACGGCGGGGTGCTAACGCCTATCAGCACACCGCAGCAAGGTCTTGGGCACGTGAGAGGGCACTTCTGGCTCGAGCATCCACGAGGCTTCCCGCATTTGGCTTGGCTGGGCTGCAGGGTGGGTCCAGATCTGTTCTCTGCGTCTTTCCCGCATTTGGGCCGGTACTTGACCCATGGCTGGAGCGCGGTAAGTCCTGTTGAGTCGGCAAAAAAAAAAAGAAGATACTGTATTACTTGTATTACTTGCCATCAGACACCCGCGTTAGCGAAGACAAGACTTACTTTGCCGCGCAGCCCTCACACGGGGGGACACGACCCGGCCGCCAGGTTCGAGGCGTGCGAGCGCATTCAGGATCCGGGCAGCCTCCCTCACTGCGTGCGGTCACGAGCAACGCCCTTTCACTGGGGACGGACACCGTGTCCACGTGGCTGGCAGCCCCTTTGTGCGGCTCAGCAAGTGTAACCTGAACACACCCCCTCTTCCACACGGCGCATCTCCGTGTCAGGGGCTGAGTTCAGTCTCCACGTGGCATGAGGGCCACCTCGGCGACACTGAGCCCCTCCGGAGTTCCATGCACGCGTTGGGCCGTGACGCCGTGGCGGGAGATCCCCTCCTCCCCAAAGAGAAGATGGAGGTGAGGGTGGTTCCCGAAACGCCCTGTTTGTTAGACGTGACTTCCCATCAGACGCAGTGATGACATGTGCCCGCTTGGTGGGGCTTCGGGGTGAGAAGGGACGACGGGAGACCAGGGCTGTGGAAGGGAGCCAGGACGGGGACGTGTGGACAAAAGCCCAGACAACCACCACGGACTTCCTGTGGCCCCTGTGGGCTGGAGCCCAGGGAGGCACGGACTTCCTGTGACCACACTGTGACGCTGACCACGGATCGAAACCAAGTCAATGCCATGCGGGAAAGCCACATGGGGGGTGGTTCACACAGGAGGTGGAGCCCGGGCCCCACGTGCAGGAGCCGGGCTTGAGCTGCTGAGCTCTGGGGGCCCCCGGGCTCCGTGTTGGGCCAGTTTCCGGAGGCCTGGCTCTTCGTGTGTGATGAGGCGGCCTCCCCTGAGGCGCTAATCACTCCGATGCATCAGCAGAGGCCTCCTCTTCCTCCTCTCCACCCCAGGCCACCCCCCCTGGAAGGGCCCGCTCTCTGTGCCGGGGGGCACCCGGCAGTCCCCCATCAACATCCGCTGCGGCGACTGCATCTACGACCCGCGGCTGAAGCCTCTCAGGGTCTCCTACGCCGCGGACAGCTGCCTCTACGTCTGGAACACCGGCTACTTCGTCCAGGTGGAGTTCGACGACTCCACCGAGGGCTCAGGTGAGCGGGGCCGGGGCTGTCACGGCCGGACAGCAGGGCCACGGGCCGGGCAGAGAAGGGGACCGGGGCTTTGCTGACGCACAGTGTTTGGGGGCAAAGAACAGGCATCACAGGGTCGCAGGGCGGGGAGGTGACGCACACGTTAAGGACGATGATGCCGACGCCCGACGCTCGCACAGCCTCACTGCACATCCCGGGGCTGGTGGGGAAGAAACTCACATGTACGGCAGCTCACAGAGAACAGAGCAGGTGGGGGAGAGAGGCGAGGTGGGGGCGGGGTCCGCAAGCAGAGGAAGAACGGAATTGTACCAACGCCGAGGCCCGGCATCCAGAGCCGGGTGCCCGGTTCTTGCCCGGAGGACACCCAGCGGCTGTGAGGCCCAGGGGTGCAGCGGGGATCCAGCAGGCGGCCAGCGGCCAGGAACGCAGGCGAGGCGGTGAGCGCCTGACCCCCACCTCGGGTCCTGTGGGGTCTTAGCACCCTGCCGAGGGCCTGGCGTGAACCCTGCCTTGAGAGCCTGGCCAGGACCCTCGCCCCTGTTTTCCGTCGGGACTGCCGCTGGGTTCCGTCTGGCGTTCCTTCAGCACCTGCTAGTGTCATCGTAAACCTTGTTTGTGCCGCACACTGTCGTCCTTCTGGGAGGGGGCCGTCGTGCGAGCGGGCAGAGGGCGCTAGGCGACCAGCCACAGCGGAAACGTGAGGCAGCAGGCCTCTCACGGGCTTCCCTGGTGGACGCGACTTCCCACGTGCCGTCACCACTCATTGCTGGGGGACCCGGCGTGTCCTGTTTGGCTCCGCGAGAGAGGGCCCTGGAGGCCGGCGCCTGGTTTCCCCCGGACAGCGCCGTCTACACCGCTATTGCAGATTTTGCTTGCGTCATTTCGCTGTATAAATCTTAGCCTTGCGTACAGCTCTATGCTGAGTCTTGGGAGCCCCCCAGGGAGTCGTTGAACCCGGAGACCCCCGGCCCAGCCCCCAGGCCCAGGTCCTTGGTGGGCCAGCCCTCGCTCCGGCCCCTTCCGTGAGCCCAGTCACCTTTCTTCCGCATCGTCGCCCCGCGAGGACGCCAGCCCAGGACAGCGGGACCTCTGGTTCACACTGAGCATCACTGGGGGGTGAGCAGCGAATGAAAAGCTAAGGAGCACGTGAGCCTCCATTGCTCCCCCGGTGGGGAGAGCACCTCCAAGGCCACTGACCCGGAGTCCACCTTCCTGCGCCACCGGCCGCAGGACACCGGGCGGGAGCTGGTTCGCGGGCTTGGCCTTGCAGGGGCGCAGGCGGGTGCGGAGCCTTCATCAGAGCCGAGCGCACGCCCTGGAGCGGTCAGCCTGCTCCCACCGTCACTGGGGGCGTCAGCCCCGCGTCCCCTCTGTCGTGACTCCTGTGCCCCTGCTTCCACCACAGCAAACGCTGCGGTTCTGGGTCACCCGCTTCTGAGCCAACTGCTGCCCACGCGCCGGCCTTCCGAGAGCCCCGGGGGAGGGGCGGGATGGTGAGCGGAGGCCCAGCCTCCACTGGCCTGCCTCTGATGGAGGGAGAGGCTGCAGGGCTGGGGCTTCTCCCCGAGCCAGGCCCTGGGAAGCGCTTCCCGGACAGCGGAACTCACCTTTCCGGGGGTCTCTCCCCTTCACAGGCAGGAAGGACCCAGACCTGCTCACAGCTGCTGCGAGTCGGTCTTAGCCATGACCCTCAGGCCACCCACACGGCGCTCGCTGAGGGCTGGGGGCCGGAACGCCAACTCTGGCCAGCGTCCGCACAGAGGGACTTCTGGGAAGGGCTCACAGGAGAGCCGGGGAAGCCGCATTCTCAGACCTAGAAGGCGCCGGAGCTGCCGGGCACAACGTGCTTCCCCGTTCGGTGGGCCGACTTCGTCTCTGCCCTTGCTGGTGTCTTCCAAGCCCGGCTTCCCAGGGAGCAGCTAAGATTGGATTTTCAGGTTCAATGTGCTTTGTGCCATTTAAAAAAATTTTTATGCAGCAACTTTATTTTTTTAAACACATTTTTTAATGTTTGTTTTTGAGAGAAAGAGACAGAGTGTGAGCAGGGGCGGGGCAGAGAGAGAGGGAGACACAGAATCTGAAGCAGCTCCAGGCCCTGAGCTGTCAGCACAGAGCCCAACGCGGGGTTCAAACCCCCAAACCATGAGATCATGACCTGAGCCGAAGTCGGAAGCTTAACCGACTGAGCCCCCAGGCGCCCCCATTTTTTTAAGTAAACTCTACCCTCAATGTGGAGCCCGAACTCACGACCCCAAGATCAAGAGCTTCATGCTCTACTTATAGACAGGGCCAGGTGCTCCTTATGCAGCAACTTTAAAAGATCAGATAAAGAATAATGGTTCTGAGCTTTTAATTGCTTGATTAATAGTTACGTGAATATACTAATAATTTTGAGAAAAACAGATAACAGGATGAGTTACTCTAGAATTCATACTCCTCCCATATAATTATTATGCATAGTTATGGGTCTTACTCATATCTACATAATACATTTATTTTCCTTTCAGTCATAAAATACAAAAAGCTTTGAAAGTTACTTAGGACTTCTTCCTGTGTATTGTTAGGACACATTTGACAAAAATCGTTCAGATTCCCGGGGGAAAGGGCGTGGTGGCTGAGCACGGCACCTGGTCAGCGGCTGGTCGGTGGAGCGCCTGTAACGCTGACCGATAGCCTCACCAAGACCACGTGCTCGGGAAGCCGCGGTCCCGAGGTAAATCGTGATGCCGTTTCTAGAAGGTGGAAGGTTTCCCACACGGACAAGCGAACACACACTTTAAAAAGCACCTCCATCTGATGAATAGCAGCACGGCCCTAAACAGACATCACAGCGGACAGCGACTGTCTCCTCCTTCTCCTCAAGGACAAACAGAGGCCCAGAGAAGTGGTTCATTCAGGGTCGAGCGGTGGCGAGTGGAGGGTCAGGTTCAACCCCAGTCCCTGCTGCTTGGAAAGCCCACATGGAGTCATCGCGTCCGCCGTGTACTGGCCCCTCTCCTTGCCAAGGCTGTGCTTGCAGAAGCTTAAGTTACTCCTTACGATTGCTGAGATGGGCGTTGGCTCCCATTTGACAGATGAGAAAAATGAGGCTCAGAGACATTCTTGGCCAGAAGTCACAGAGCCCTCAGGACGGGATTCTCTGCTCTCCAAAGAAGGGAACTTCACGAGCGTGACCTCCCTATGGAAAAAATTTGCACCCAGCATCCACAGAGCTCAGGCGTGAAGCCATAGGCGCTGACCCCACTTGGTACTGGGCTTGTGGTCAGGTCCCCAGAGGGCCAGCACCTTCAGGGTGCCAGCCAAGCCCATGTCCAACATTGGGAAGGCCTGGGGCCTGGGTTACCCACCCCTCAGCCACCAGCAAGAAGCCCATGCCTGGCTCCCCTGGCAGGTTGGGGAGGGCCGTCTCTGTGGCAATTCAAGGGCGAAGTCGTTACTATTATTTTCGTCTGGGCGTCTAACAGCATGTGGGACTTGGGCTCTAGAGGTTCCTGAATCTTCTGGGGCTCAGGCTCAGATCTGAGGCGGGCACACTAGGCTGTCACAGATCTTAATTAGCCCAGAATTTCAACCTCTTGAATTTTTACCCAAAGTATAACTCACAGAATTGGGCATGGCCAGCCCCACCGGCCTGTCTCTGCTTCTGAGGTCTGCCCGGCGGCGGGCGTGCAACTCCGGTCAGACCGCTGAGCACCAGAGTCCCCTGGAAGGTGCTGGAAGAGAATCCCTTTCTGCCTGTGTTGTGCGGGGGCAGCTGGGAGCCGGACCCGCTGGTCTTCAGCCAAGAGGTGGGGAGAACTTGAGGCCCGAAGCCATTGTTGGAGCCTCGAAATGCAGCTGTGCCTGAGGCCAGACCAGCCCCTGGACTGATACATCTCTCTTCTTTTCTTTTTTCTTTTTTTTTTTTTTTTGCTTAAGTCAGTTTGATTAATGATAATTCTGCCTCGTTTCCAAGAGCCCTAATACAGAAGATCAAGCTGAGAGAGAGGAAACGGGAGGGAGGGAGTCACCTGGGAACCAGCGGCCCCCTCCTCTCGCTTTCTGCTCAAATGCAATGCAGAGGCAGCCTGGGTCCTGAGCCCCAGGGCTGGGTCCCCCTCCCCCACTCCACCCACAGAGCTGGGCGTCGGAGCCCCGGGGCTTGAAGACCCCAGGTCCGGCCTCGGGGCAGCAGGGCCCAGGCGAGCCTGGCTAGTGTGGTGCAGGGAAAGGCGGCCTTCTGGGGTTCGGGGTGGGTATGGGAAGCCACTTTCCCTGGTGTAAATACTCCCACACAGCCGGCCTCAGTCTCCAACAGTCACTGATCCCAGGTGGGGAGGAGACGGTTGCCTCCCAGGAGCCAGCTCTGGTCGGTCCCCCGTGTCACTGTCCCAGGCCCTCTTCCCTCCGAGGCCCTGCTGCCTCTGAGCTCGCCCGGGCTCTCCAGGCCAGGCCTTCCCTGTACTGGCTGAGGCTGTTGCATGTGGCAGAATCTCAACTCAAACTGGCTTCAGCAAAGAAGAGGAAACGCATGGGCTCAGATCCTGAAAAGCCCAGGGTGTGGCTGAGTCAGGTGATGGAGGGAGCACAGAAGGAATGGAAGGAATGGAAGGGAAGGTGGAAGGAGCCTGAGTCCCCCCGGGGGGCTCTGCTTGCCCCTGGCGGGGTCACCCCAAGCCGGCCATTCCCCAGGGCAGCACAGGTGGCATCTGCCGCTCCGGCTCACCCTGCCGATTGAGTGGTTTGGAGGGACAGCACCCCTGCCTGGCAAGCCCAGCAGCCCCAGGCCAGGGGCTGACCCCCGAAGCCCAGGTGGTCGCGGAGCCCATCATGGGGACTGAGGGCGAGCCCGCCCTGCAGCAAGGAGTGGTGCCCAGAAGTGAGGTGGTCGGGGCCGGGCCGGGAGGCTGCTCCGAGCTCCGCCCCAGGGCCCGGAGAGCTTGCTCTTGGCCCTGCGCTGACCGCGGCCCACCCCCGGCTCAGGTGGCCGTCGGCATCCAGGACTTTTGCGCCCTGATGCA